GAGTAATCCTACCGAATTCGATGATCGAAGCGGATTACTGACAAATGAATTAAGTATCTATTCAGCGAATGAGCAAAATTAATACAAGGTGTTAAAAAGGTAGATAATTATAATTTCAAAATTTTCTTCCATTCAGATAAACTGGCAACACTTCAAGTAAAATAATTCTGATTTATTTGAACGAGCGTTTAGTTAGATTTTTATTTGCGATCATCAAAATTGGTGAAATATATGAATAATTTGACTTAAGAGTTTATGTTAGCATGCAATATGTTGACAATTAACGACAGTTCACTTTGTCATCATTTACTCAGTTTAAACAGAGATTATTATACCGATAATACTCTTATCTCATCCTTATCTCATACTATGATTGCTTTGTTTTTGCAGTCTTCGTGAAAATTGTTTATAACGATAGTTTGTGTGATATATTACAGAAATATTTAAGTTCTCAAAAATGTTATTAATAGGTTCAAAATACGCTACTTTCAATTTCTATTTATTCATTTTTTATTGGTTAAGAAATTTGTATAGTAGCAATGAAACCTTTTCATATTTGCAGCCTCTTATGTTCCATTTAGCAAATTTAATTTAAATGATTTATCACCAAAAGTTTAATTTCCAAATTTCTTACTGCTAAAATGAAATCCTTCTGAAGTGATCTTTGCTTTATTCATCAAAGTTAGTTGGATAAAAGGTCATCAAAGTTTGGAAGAAAGGTGAGATAGAAGCGCATTTGTGTAACTCATTTATCATTATAACACCCAGCAAACAAATCCACGATCCGTCTTTCTGTCTTATATCAGTGTCAGCACTTTCACCTTATCAATTCACCAAGATAAAACTTTTAATTAACTTTCTCTATTTTTTAAGCATAATAGCTGAGATCAATCGAATTTACTTTAAAATTTAATTAGTTCACTGCGATTTTTAAAGGCATCTTAAGAATGCAAATCATATAGTATCAAAATTTCGCCATGAATTAAATTCTCTATCTTAATTTTGCTCTTGAAACAAATATGTTTTTTCGGTTGTAGTCTTGAATAAAGCACTCACGTTTTGATTCAACTTAAATTGGAATCTATTTTACCACATTTTCAGCAGAAGAAAAACAATTTTTTAAGGTGAATAATTTCAGAAACCTCAGAAATCTCAGGGAATGAGAAATAATGCGGTTTGAAAATTCCGTGACTAGCAAATCAAATTTAGAAAAATAGTTTAAACGTGAAATATTAGTAGTTGGGTCAGGAAAATATGCGTTTGGTTTAATTTTAAAATTTAAAGCGAATTAAAATGATTTTTAAGAGTAGAATTAAAACATGAGTGGGAGAAAATTTATGCAACTAATTATAAAGATTCAAAAGTTAGCCCACGTAATTTTCTTGCAAGAAATTTTGCATAATCAAACATTTAAGTCAGATAAGGTGTTAAGATATCAAAAATAACTGCAGTAAAGACAATCAGAATTTTGTGTATATATGATACTTCATTAGAAACTTTGCTGTATTTGCTTCAAAAAATAAGCAAAAAATTGGTATGTCTAAATGTGGTTTAACTTTTTTCATAATTTCTAAAAATTTCTTGATAATTGTTTCTGTCATTTGAAACTCGTTAATCTATTTTAATAGATAGTTAACCAAGAATAAACTAAATACAATGTGTGTTGAACAATGAAACTATTTATTTATTAAACAAGATTAAATTTTCTTTGGTAGCGTAATTATAAAAAAATTTCATCAAATTTTAAAGTATAAAAGTTACTAATAGAAAGAAAATTCAATTAATATTTTAGACTTTATATCCTTTAGTGTTAACTTGCATAAATTATTGTAGTTCATTTGGCTATTTATTCAGTCAGGATTTTTGTTTCATAAAGTTTAACAAGTATTTTTAGGCGTCACAGAATCACATGAAGTAAGCAAATGTATAATACTAATTAACACTTACTCATTTTAGCAAGATCATAATTAGCATGAACATGACTACAAAAATTATGTACTTTTGTACTCTTTAACGAATTATATCTGAAAAATATTTCTTTAACGTTGTATTTAATTTTCAATTAGCATGATACGATAATTGCTTGCAGTAAGCAAAATAGAGAAAATGAAACAAAGGTTATTAATTGTAGCTGAAATCTCTTTACATTCTTTCTGAATGAACTTATTGAATTCCTAAAATTATTGCGATTTAGGAAAGCAAAGTTTATTCAGCTGATAACTTCATTATATGTTAATTTTTTTAGACCCGTGCGGAAAAAATGAAAATACTGTATGGTAAAATAATACTTGTATTGCTATTTCTTGTGAATAATGATATTTTTGCAAGTAACTACAATAGAATATAGGTAGATAGATTAGATAGGTAGATAGGCAGATAGATAGATAGAGAGATAGATAAAGAAATAAATAGATAATGGCTGCAACTCTGTACTGCTTGCAAAAATTATCAAAAACCACTAATTTTTTCGCTCACTCAGACCTATCTAGGAATCGTTCTCAACCATTGTTGTAAGTAGAAATTCGTTCAGCATCTTATAGCATTAAATTTGGTTATGTACCACCTGCTGACCTGTCCGGTCATCTTTGCAGGAAAAAAGACAACCGTATAAATCGGATCAAACTAATAAAATACCAGTTTTTCTGTAAATAATCTCTCCAGCAGAGAAAATGGTTCTTTGGCAACAGTTTCAGTTTTGATTTCAAGGACGATCTTTTTTCTAGCATTTACTATTATTATTATTAGTATTTATTTATTTATTTATTTATTATTATTATTATTATTATCATTATTATTATCGTTATTGTATTTCTTCCATAAAAGTAAGATTAATCTTTTACAGTTATTTAAGCTGTGTATAATGATGAGTTAAATAACAGCCAATTTTGTTGTTAGTGCATTAATCAAGATAGCTCTGCAATTAAGTAAAACAAATTATTCATGGGGTAATTTTTCATACCTTTTCAAATTTCTTTGTCGAATTTAATAAGTCACTAATCATTTATCAGATTTTTCCCAAACTGACTACTTTTATGAGGTTAAATTTGTCATTTTCCGGGTATAGTTTCACGCTATTTCAGTTGCTATAACTTTATTAAATTAGAAATCTGAGTTTCTTGATATTATTTGAAACAATGAAATTTTTGTATAATATTAGAGTTTAAGTTTTGCATAACATTTTCATGCATGCACTATTTATATTGACAACATAGCAATACTATATTGACTGTAATTAATGAATTCCATCCTAATTATATTAAATATCTGACCTGTATGATCTAGATAGATAAGTAATGAATGTGGTGTCATACTGTTTAACTAAAAAATATACTTACTATATCTATATTTATTTGCTCATTAAGCAGGATGGTAACACTTTCATGCGTGGCCTATGTGTGTGGTTGGTATCCATCATCACATGCTTGATTAGATAGTCTGAAGAATTAATTGTAACGTTATGTGCAGAAGCTATTCATCTACTTTTTTCGAGTGACGAAAATTAAATTAACTTTTAAAAGTTAAAATATAGATACTTTTCGTTCAATTTTCCTCTTAAAATTTAAAGTAAATAGGAGGAGCAAATTTCAGAAGGGTGGGGTTGCAATAGCAGTAACAATCGTAGTAATAGTGGGGATAATTATTAGTCAGCTGAATATATGACCGCGTTTGGTGAAAGACAGCACTGCTGCTGATCAAATATGCAAATTTTTATGGGAGCTTCATGACTAAATGTTTGCATAAAATTATTACTTAATTTTTTTATGAATGAAAAAGCATTAGCAAAATTGTTATTTACCTTTTGACTTTACTTATTAGCTGCTCTAAAAATTTGAATTTAAATTAGTAATATTTGTTGTCTTATTAGTAAACAATTAAAAAGTATTAAAAATTATATGATAAACGTGTTTATCAAATTAAGAGATTAAAAAACTTTGCATTGTATTTAATGAATTTGTCGCGTATGCATCTGATTCATTAACGTTGCTAATATGTTCCATTTTTATTTTTTAATTTCAATGAATTCGTCTTTCCATAAAATGTGCGATTAATTTTGCATTTTTTATAGGATAACATTAAAACAACGAATCTGATACTGATATTGAGAAGTTTTCTTTCTTCATTGTACTATTCTTTGTTAATTAATTTTTTTCTAAACATTTTATCAAAATCATAAAATTGAAAAAGCAATCAAGACAGATCAATTTTGATATTTTTTTATTGAATGGCAAGTCAGAAAACTTATGACCTAACAATCGACTGATTAATTTTTATAAATTCATTTTGCCACTATTCAGTTTGAAGCGCATTTTTTGAATAGCAATAAAATTAATAACCTTAAAAATTCTTCATTTGATGACCACCTCATTGAGCTACTATTAGATTAAGCAGCTGCATTTTATTTTTTTTTGGTTTCATACAGTTTCAATTTCTTGTTTATTCTTGCTTGGCAACGCTATCATTATACAATTTATTCGCCAAACAAACTTCAATCTTTTGCTTGTATAATTTCGGAGAATTTTTATTGTTATCTTCGGATGAGCTAATTTGACTGATAACAACAAGTTATGAAAATTTCCTTGATTTATCTGTTTAAGAGATTACATTCTTCACCCCAACAAAAATGTTTTGTTTTTCCACGAATTTTGCAGAAAAAATCGAACTTTACACAGACATAAATAGCTACATTGGTTATTGGGCTCATTTTTGCTTTCAATTTTACTAACTTTAGTCTTTATCGCTCCTATGCTGGAAATAATGCTATTATTCTGAATAATATTGTCACCACAATATTTTTTATTGCTCATCATACTATTATTGTTGTTGTTACTGGCAGCATTGTCTGATGTCTAATGTTATCACCTTCGCAGATAGAAATAAATTTAAATATATGGCAAAAGATGGTTTTGGCAAGTTTCAGGTTGCACTTAAAATCAGCCAATTTTCTTATTAATGTTTTTTCTATTGTTCAGAAATAATTGGCTCACTTCTAGACTGAACGGATGAATCAACTGCGTAGTAATCGTTGTCCATCTGTTCATCTAATAATAATTATAATTATAATTGTTATTAGTTCTTGTATTGTTGCTGGTTTCTCACCCAAACTAAGGGTTGTTGCTGCTGAAAAAAACAAACATATTGCTAAGAGTCAAAATTGGCCAAATGTAAATGATCAAGAGAGTGAAGCAAGACGTTCAAGACGTCACGGCTTTGATTATTTACAAATTAAAAATTCCAGTTGTCCAAATTACTGCGAATGTGAGTATATCATAAACAATAACAGTCCTGATAATATACCAGAATTTTCTGTATTTTGTCATGAAGGTGGTCTCGAGCAGATTACATTCTCTAAGTTGTTAAAACAAATTCCGAGAGAAGTATCAATACTTGATGTTACGGCGCCAGAAGATAAACCTAATCATCTCCTTTGGGATGATAACCTGAATCAATTGCGACAATTGCGCATCTTAAGATTAGTCAACTGTGCTATACCAGCTATTAGTCGAGCACTGAAATTACGAACCCTAGAAGTACTCGATCTTCGTAATAATAATATCCAACATCTGTCCGTGTCCATATTTTCCGGAATACCATCAATACGAGAGCTGAATCTTGCTGAGAATTTATTAAGTATTTTACCCACAGGTGCCTTTACTTATCTTAAAAATTTGCATACTTTATCATTAGCGCATAATAATATTAGCAAAGTTCCAGTTAATCTGTTACGTGACTTGAACAATTTACGATCGCTCCATCTAGATGGTAATCAAATATCTGTGCAGGAATTTAACAAGCTTTTCGCAGATATTCCAAATCTAAAACAGCTAGAACTTAATGATTGTGGGCTCAGTATTGATCTAATTGATGATTTAGCTTTGGATAAATTCACATCGCTTCATCAACTTGGCCTAGCGGGTAATATGCTTGGCAAAGTGCCGGAAAGAGTGTTACGCAATCGTTTAACCTCTTTGATGACCCTTGACCTTAGTCGAAATGGTCTGGTAGAAATAAGACCCGAAGTATTTGCTAAATCAAATATTAGTCGACTAATACTGGCTGGTAATCGACTTGGAGCAAATCGTAATGCATTATCCGAAAATTCTCTAAAAACTAACACAAAGCTACTTGAATTAGATTTATCACGTAACAATTTTGCTCACTTCCATTCAGGATATCTTGGGATAGTTCGAGAAACCGTGGAAGTTTTGCATTTAAATGGGAACCATATCGCTAGTATTGAACAACAATTAATAGCTAATATGACAAAGTTAAATATTTTGCATTTGGGTTATAACTTCATTGAATATCTACCAGAAAAACTACCAGATGAATTTGCACAATTGACATTTCTTAATTTATCCGGCAATCAACTTTCTTCATTACCAGAACACTCTCGAACAGCGTTACCTCTGCTCCAGAAAATTGATATTTCTGACAATCGATTTGTGTCATTTTCTATTACAATTATTCAACAATTTTTCAACAGCTTGGAAAAAGTTAGTCAACTTTAATTTCCATTAAATTTGGCATTTAATTTGAAGTGTTAAAAAGCATAAAGTCAAAATCAATATTTTTTAATTCATTACTTTCTATGAATAATCAATCATTAAAAATTAGCTGCAGAGACTTTTCTATTTACTTTACTTTTTTTAGTAGCTCCCTATCTAAATTTTGAATACAACTTTGTTGTAGGAAATCCGAAATGGATTTAAAAAAAAGAATGTGAATTAGAATGGAAGTTTGAATGATCTACTGAGAAAAATTGAGCAGATATTTTTATCAATTTTAAGCAAAGTTATTATCAAGTTGAGTTGACCATCATTTTCATTGAATTCGGTAGTTGTTGCAAGACAATATAATTTCCACAATAGCGGTTTGACTGAAACTTTCAAGAGATATCTGAAAGAACTGACTGCTTGACAATCTATTAACAACAAATAATTCAGTAAGTCATTGATGAATAAGTAAATTCTTTTGTCCTGCCGAAGGTCATTTTTGGACCCAAAAAGATTAGATTGAGTACTGAATATTTTCAAAAGCTGAATTGGAATATGGTAAGTAAATCCAGTCATAAAAACGATCTCTTTTCTTGCAAGAAACAAAAGGTATATTGTTTTATGAAATGCATATTATTTTAGACAAAGTTTACATCGAAGATAAAAATTCTGGTTTAGTTCAAAATTAAAATTTTGTTTAATTTAAACTGAAGTTTCTAGATTTAAATATGCTTTTTTAGAATGCAACTCTAGCGACTGGAATTTGGGGTTTGCTAGCAATGAATGTAAAATATTACATCTAATTTTTCAAATTCAATTTTATGTCTTCCAAAAATAAGGAAATTCGTTCGTAAAAATCAACAAACCATAAATATAGTGGAGCAAAATAAAGAATTTCACAGTGTGAGTAAAATTATATTTTTTATGATAATACTAGGGGTAGTTTTTCAAAACTTTTCAATGCAATTCGAAAATTATCTATTTTTAATAATTTGTGTTTGATAATGATCAATGGATCAGATTTAGAATGCAAATAGCTGCAATAATTATGTGTCATAGAAAAAAATGAAGTAATTCGTCTTTGCATTAGACTTCGTGAGTTGATGATTTTTGGCTTTGTGTATTTGAATTCCTAATAAATTCAGTAATGAAATGGAAATTATCCCATGTTTATTTGGAATTATCATATAATTATCATACAACTTATCATATAAAAAGTTATTTTTTATAGAATCACTTGTAAATATGATCAAAAAAATATTATTCTTACTTATAATCTTTGGATATGAATAAAAAATATGACGGGAAATGACTATTATGTACAGAATTAATAAAAAATTCAAAAGTTATAACATAATACGCCCCCTTTGTTTTAGTGCCATGAATGAAACTTACATTTAAATTTAGTGTAGTATAGAATAGAATTTATTTTTGATTCTCTGTTTTGCATATATCTAAAAAATAATCTTTATTTGATGAAAAATAATAAAATGTAAATAGTGAACTATATACCATCAATTTGAATTTTTTCATTAATTAAATTAGTTAAAACACTACATGCATTATTTTCTATAGCATTTTTACAATAATTTAGTTTCATTAATTTTATAGAATGTTGTAATGCTATATTTCTTCACTTAAAGTGATTTTAACAGAAAATGTTAACATTACATGAAGCCTAAATTGAAAAATGATCATATTTTGCTTTGTCAGATACTGAAAGTGAATTAATTTTAAGGTTCAAAAAATTATATAATTTGATGTCTTATTTTGCGGGCGCATATTCAAAAAGATGCTACGCTCACTTCATGAATAGATATCAAAATGTTAGCTTGGCACTATTCTGAAAAGTCATTAATACTTACAACAATTAATTTGTTCAGTTGTTTTATTTTAATTTTGAACCAGAATCCTGTATGCTCCATTTAATTATAATATATTATAGTGTACAGCTGATCAGACCACATTTTACTCATTTCATTACCAATTTCAATTTGCTCTATTAAATTGCAGTGAGTTTCATTTTACGATTAAAAGCTATTTTCGTTATATCCCATTTTCTAACCAATTGCATACTAAATAATATTGAATTTGAGAATTAGCTGTTTTGTTTTCTGGCAATTGTTGCATTCAGAGGATATTTCGCATTATTTTGTTGCTGTTAGCGAAGTTCAATTCTTTTCAGCTAAGCTATTTATCTTTCTAGCTGTTGAACATAGCTAGAAAAAAGTAACAAGCTTAAGCCCAAGTTTTTACAATTTCTCACAAATTATTTCTACTAATGCATCTCTTATCTCCATTTTTCTTGAGCACATATAGCAGAAAGTCCAATAGAAAGTTGCATAAAAATTAAACAAGAAAAAAATCAAACTTTTCCAGATAAATATATGAAAAAAAGTTATCAAAAGATGGGTTAAAATATAAACAGCTTAAATTCTTAAGATATGAAAAGCAAATGCAGGGTAAATGTGGAAAAAAAAGATTTTGTCTCTTTGTTGACAAATTTATAAAATAAAAATTAAGCTGTGTAAAGATGCACTTTCATTTTATATTTGTTATTGTGTCACAATAATAATAAGTTTGAATAGAAAGCAGAGAGGACGCATAGTCTTGAAAATAAACATTAAAACACAAATTGTCATTGATAAGCATAGTTGTTAAGGCAATTATTTTACTACTAATTACATCTTTGTTTTTGAACTTCTTTGCATTTGTTTAGTATGGCTGTAATGGATACAATTTGGACAAAAATTATCAATTGACTTCTTTAATTTATGCGACTTTGAGGACTTAGCTTACATATTTACTTCTTCACGGTTCTTTTCTTCGTATTTCTTTACATATTTCTAGCAGTATTGTTTAAATGATCAGACCAAGTTTTACTTATGATTGGAAGCAAAATTTTTTGTGTCTATGCATTCAAAACTTTTCTGCCAGCCTTCATATTTAAATATCGAATTTTCGCTCTTTGCCTTGGTATGGGCTAATCAGTGGTGATTGAATAGTAAAAGAAAGCTGTTGGGCCGAAGACAAATTATTTCTGATGGTTATTTTTTTGCTCGAAAATGAATAAAATTTAGTTAATAAATTAAAACTCAACTTAAATATCAATATTTTTAGACTACTGCACATAAGAGAGTTTTTTTTAATTTTGCATAAATATTATAGAATATAAAGTAAAATTTATAGAAGCAGAGAATCGAGAATACAAAGCGATTTTTTCTTAAAAAGGATAGAGGGAAAGTTTAATAGAACATTATTTATATTTTATTGTGCCATATTATGATGAGAAGTCTAAGAAAAGCTATTGTTGCTGTTGAAAGCTTATCAAAAGAATGAATTCTGAGGATATTTTGTTTTCGAAAGCTTAAATACGCCAGTTGCAAAAAAACAAAATCTAACTTTTTTTTAAAAAAAGACATAAATTTTTAGTGGACCAATTTCTAAGCAAAATTGTATCTGAAAAGGAACCGAGAAAAGATTTTCAAGATTAATTGTTACTATGCTTTCAAGTTTTTCAAATCTCTAAGGATTATCAAAAGATGGATATATATAGTATGAATGTTTAAAATATCAAAAGTAAATAGAGAATAGCTATAAAACATTAATACACTTTAATTTTTCGCATATTTATTCATTTTTCAAAACCTTCAATTCTCTAGAGAATCTTTATTCAAAAAGCCTCTTAATATTTGCCGAAATCAGAGGTTAAATGTCGATAAAATCAAAAAAAAATTGCTAAAATTGATCCGATTGATCTGATTTTAACTGCAGAGAAGATTTTTAGATAACTTTGAAAAATTTTTGAAGAGAAATGGAAAAGTGGACAGGATGGACAATATCCAATCTGTACTATTTTATAATTTCAAAATAAGTAGCAAAGAAAAGGTAGATAAAGTTTTATTTAAACCGAATATAAATAAAATTTAAATAGTTAAAATAAGATAAATTTGGACCTCTTCTCTTATTAAGAACGATTTACTGTTTCAAACTGTTTTAGTAGTGTCATTTTTTAATTTAGTGCTCTTTTATTTTTATTGCAAAAAGAATGAAATTGGTCAGAACAAGGAAAGTAATGAAATTTAAGCTATTTTTTGTCTGTCAGTGTGTAATATAACCTGCAAAAAATAGCAAACAAATTATTTTTGTGCGTGCTTTCTATCAAAACAACTAGAACAAATTGTAATGCATATATTTGGGATTTATTAGTGAAAAAAAACTTCAACAACAAAGAAATTGGGAATTGATACCAGCAGTGGAAAAGGAATTGAAGGTTGAAGCAAAAAAGACAAATGATAACTTTGATTACCTCACAAACTGAATTGCGAACTTCAGTATTAATTTGATCTTTTGTTTTTAAGTAAGAATAAAAGCTCTGAGACCTCTTTGACATATGTAGTATACTAAATTTTTCAAAGACAAACAAAAACAAAATTATGAATGAATCAAAATTCGATATAAAAAACGATATTAAGTTGGAATTCAATATGCAAAACGTGAAAGACAGGAAGTTGTTTCAGGGAAGAAAAATGTTTGAATAAAACCAAGCAAAAAATCAAAAAGTGATTTTGGTTAGACGCTATGAAATGAAAACACTTTATTTTTTCTATTGGCTATTTTAAATTACCTAATATCCTGAATACCGAACTTCCATGTTTCGAAATTTTTTGAACGTAAATTATCCCCATTTGTCAGTAACTAATACTTTCAAAAAAATTGCAGTTTTTAAAGAAGTTTACTAATGTTAAATGAAAAGCGCAAATTATCATTTTATAAAAAATTTGAATTAAGAAAACCATAACTGAAAATATTGCAGAACTGATAAAAATTATGAAAGTAAAAACGTGCAGAAATCTTTCCCAAGCTGGAAAAATTTGTTCTCTATTTACTCAGTGAATGATTTTGTTTGATATTCACAAATTCTATTCCCATTTGTGTCAGAAAGTATGCACTTGAAGAGTAGAATTTTTGTTAAGAGATCTTTTATCATCATAAAAATATTTTTTCTAATTGTGCTCTTTTCATATAACTTTATTTAATTTCCAGGTTAAGTTTCAAGGTAATCCGTTGGATTGTTCATGTCACGTAGAGGAACTGAAAAATCACTTACTTGACCGTTATGCATATCGGCATGAATTACAATATGAAAGCACTTGTTGTGCCACACCTGAAGAACTGCAAGGAATTCCACTCTACAGGTGAAGTTGAGATTTTTCAATAACTGAATATTAGACACCTATACCGAAAAAGGTACATGAAAATATGTTCAGGTAATTTTTAAATAAGTAGTAAACTTTATCAAAATTATAAAATTTTCCAATTACCACACGAAATAATGTTGCTAGGGAAGTTCATCACTTGTTTTTACAAGTAAAAATTGAATATTTCTTTCAATGATCAGAAATTAGTGTGTTTTTCTGCACAAAAAAGATCTTTTAAATGTAGGAATGCTTTGAAATGAATCATTAATAATCAATATTAATTTAAGTAGACAATCTTTTCAATCAATTCCGTGTTAAAATTTTTTTTTGAATTTTGCTACCTAATCTACAAGGAAGCATATAATAAACAAAATGTTTTTCGAAAAAATTCAGTGCGATGAAGAAAAATGGTACAAAATTTTAATTTCTTCATATTTTCAGAATCAATGACGGTGCTGAATGCACATTTTTGTTTGGTGCCCGCTATAGCTTCTCACATCTTTCAGAAATAACATTCATTTTATTAGCACTAATCATTTTTGCTTTTTGTTTTACTGTGCTGATTTTATTTATACACAGCCGTTCAGACAGACAAAAAAAGGTAAATTCGTTTACTCAAACCAACTAAAAAAAATCATTTGAACTAAGAATACATCAAATTTATCTGAATTTACTCAGGATACTAGAAAAAGTAAAAGTAACACTAGTAATATTGATTATAATAGTACAAAAATAATTCAAAAGTTAATAATAATAATAATGATAATAATAATAATAATATTATTATTATTATTATTAGTTATTATTATTATTACTGACATCATTGCTGTTTTTATTCATTTTTTTCTAAATATGAAGCAAAAAACTGATAATAATAATTACTATTATTACAAATTACTATATTTATAATGATCATAATCATTATTATTACATTACTGCAAAAAATGCTGATTGTTGCTACAATTTATTTGCAGAAGTACGCTGATGTGACCCAATCACAATCACGAATAGCACTAACTTTATCACAACATCTTAGTAATTCGCCTTCATCGTTAACTGAACCCTTGACTCCACCACCAGAATCACCTATTTCTGGAATTTCAACAAAAGTACCACCACCTCCACCAATTCTTACTGACATTTAACTTTAATCTGTTTTATTACTTTTGGCCCTTTTTCTTCAAATCTTTGTGAATTGAAATTGCTGATATAGATTATGGTTTCTATTTCAAACTTTTTCAACGTTTTTTGAAAACCATAATACTTTAGCTTGGATTCCCTGTTAATTTTTTAAATTGGTCTGCATCTATAAAACGGGTCTGTTATTGATAAAGATTTTGAAGCATTAAATTTGTATAATATTTATCGTAATTCCTTTTCTTTCTGTTTGCTGCATTGAAATTAGTTTGGAATCTAAATTTTTGGATATTTTTTTCGTTTTCAATCTGATATAAAAATAAAATGATTAACGCTTCAATTTCTTCAGTGTAATTAACAAACATAAGCAAATATCTTCCATTTTTTGACTTTTTGAAAATCACTGAAATTATTGATTAAATAATTAATAATAATGACCATTATTATTATCATTATTATTATTATTAATTATTAATTATTAATCATTAACATGCCTTGACATGAACTTTCATTCACTCATGATATGTACTTTTTAAATACAGTTGGCAATAAAGTTGAAGATAGTCATCATAAATATTCCGAAGTCGATCATTATTATTATTATTATTATTATTATTATTATTATTATTATTATTACAAAGCTATTTTATATTTATTAATCGCACTGAAAAACAATGCACGATAAATTTTGTTGCACCACCTTCATATTCAAATTATTCAGTTATTTCGTTCCATTATAAAACGCTCGCAGCTTATTTTCTTACTTATTTTCAGTGTCTGAGCAATTTTTTCTTTCGAATTTAACTTGATCAATTCGATCTACTTCTAAAGCATTATTGTGGAGTTTTAAGAAATATTAATAGAGTAGACAGAAATTTACTGCGTTTGATGTCAGTGGTGATAGTACTGACTTCCATTATGTAAATAGAGTAATAATCTGCATGTTTAACTATCTTATTCATAATTCCATGTTATTCATTATTTGTGAAATTGAGTGATGTTCATGAATTTATGTAAGCAGTATAAACGATTATGAACTAAGATTGATAACTATACTAAAATCTAAAGCTTGGACTGTATCCTTAAATGAATTGTTAAATTGCTGTTTTTGTAAAACAAATTTCAGTAATAATAATATAAAAGATTCTATGTTTCAACAGAACAAATTAAACTTCATGATTACATTAAGCCTCAACTAGCAAGTAATGACAAAATTCAGTGACTTCAATAAGTTATGGTTGTAATCGAAATTAGAGATGACTGAATGAAATTTACATTTGTAATCAAATATCAAATTTGTGCTTAAAAATTATCTCCTGCACTGGAAATTTAGTGACGGAAAGTGAAACTGCTTGTTTGAAATATTACTGATATTAACTGTTCGTATAAAATAATACTGTTGTTTATTATTGCATACTAAAAATTAGAAAATATCTGCAAAATAATGTAACAACATTAAGCTGTAGTAAGCCAAAAATTTGCATCTTTCAGTTTAATAAGCAGATTAAGTTTCATTTATATGGAATATAAGCTAACAAATCTCGTTCTTTGATCAAAAATCAACATATATTCACGAAAATGTCAGAATAAGTGTGAAAAAAAGTGACGAAAAGTAAATAAAATTAATTAGCATCAAAAGCATGTAATAATTGTGTAGTAAGCAAATTCATCAATTATTTGTCAGACTATTTTTATTAATAATAAATGTGACGTGTGCTTATGAGTATTTTAGCAAATTTATTTCCATTGGTTTTACCAACTTTTTTTTCAAATTTAAAATGACATATACGATATCTTATTAGGAAGACAAATACATCTGCATTTTAAATTACTGAGAAGGCTGACAATGCAATAAAATTTACAATCAAAACAGATATTAAATATATATATATATATATACATAGCTTGCCGAGGTGCAGAGCGGTTGGCTCTGAGCGACTGGGTTCAACGAACATAAAATGGAGGCTAAAAGGAAAAAGTCCGCATCTGGAACCATGAATGGAAACAATGCAAAAACAGATGTGGTTGGGAAAAGCTATGTGAGGGGTGTAAGAGAACATAATGCCAGTTTACCGGAATCCGATGCTAGCAAAAGGATCACGCTTGAATCAATCTTTCGTGGAATCTAACCCCCACGAAGCAACTGGCCAGGAAAGGTGCTGAAAGCGGTCCCTGACCGATTTGAAAAAGTGCCGAGCGGAGGATGGCTATTGTGTCGTTCTTTGTATAACGAGAGAGAAGTTTTCGTGTGCTATTACCCTCGAAGAACTGAAGAAACAAGCGAATTCTGTGATCACCAGTATTGCAGGTCGTCCGTGCTCACAGAAACGGTTCTTGGAGGAGTACACGAAACGTGTCAATTTACAAATTACGCACTTCGAGGAAAACACGTTACACGAATCTAAGGTTTATCTAGATAAGGAAAAATATCTAGTGCTGATGCAAGAGGCGAAGAGACGTGAGATAAACCAGACAAAGTAGACGCGGAAAATAACATTAGAGAGCGTAGATTCGCTCATACTTGCAGCAGTAAACCAAGCGGTGGGTGAATATGCTACACAGAATCCCCCCAAGTCAATGACTGACTGAATGACGACAGGGCCTGATGGAGTTTATAACTTCTTTATCAAGAAGTGCACCTCCTTACATCCAGACCTGTACAACATAGTAAGAAGGATTCGTCTGGATGGGAAGGAAAAAGATCCGTGGTTCTATAAAAAGATCCGTGGTCCTACCTGATTCGAAAAGGTGTCTCAAGTAAATGCAGTGACTTCAGGCCAATAACTTGTATGTCGAACCTTTACGAGTTAACAACGAAATGTGTGGAACGCGTCATGCAGTTAGATGTTGCCATGAGAAGGCTACTTGCGAGTAACCAATTAGGAACTATTATCCAGTTTCATGGTGCAAAATAATATACACTGTTGAACCTGACGGTTTCCAGAGAGCATGGAAATTAGCTGTACACTACGTGGCGTAACATTTAAAAAGCGTTCATTTCAGTCAATCACGGATAATTGATTAAGTGTTTTGAAAGGCTTAACATGCTATCGTGGATCAGCAGGTTTCTGAGAAGCATCAC